TGGGATCGTGGAGAAAGAATTCCACGAGGGAAGCCAGAAGGAGGGCGCGAGCCGATGGCTGGGGGGGGGGCAGGATGGGCGGGGGAGGGCAGAAGGAAGGAAGCGGGGGCAGGATGGATCAAGGATAGGGGCAGTCGAAGAGAAGAAAAAATGCGGGGAGAGAAAAGAGGAGGGAGGGGGGGACGGAGGCAGGAATGAGAGGGACGGGGCGACGACGACGATGACGACGACTTCAACTCGCCCCCCCGTAGCCGATCCCTACCCTAACCTGACCCAGGCCCTGTCGACACTGCGCCAAAGCTAGCCTGACCCATTCAAGTTAACATGGCCAACGGCTCGGCGACACCAGTGTGTCACGCGTGCGCTGTGTAGCAAATGATGCACCATGATGGGGCGGCACAACAACATGCAATGCAACAATGCCAACAACATCACTAATCCCTCTCCGTTTCCAATGAAGAATATGGCTGGCACTGAAGCGAGAGAAACTTTCGCAATCATGGATGTGGCAGGCGCTGTGGCGAGAGCAACATTATCAATCATGGATGTGGCCAGCGCTAGGGCGAGCAACTTTCGCAATGGTGGATGTGGCTGGCGCTAAGGCCAAAGTAACTTTCGTAATCGTGGGTGTGGCTGGCGCTAAAGCGACAACAACATTTGCAATCATGGATGTGCCCGGTGCGACGGCGAGAGTAACTTTCGCATTCGTGGGTGTGGCTGGCGCTGGGGCGAGAGCAAAATTCGCAATCGTGGATGTTACCAGCGCCAAGGCGACATCAACACTCATAATCATGGATGTGGCCAGCGTTGAGGCCAAAACAACGTTCGCAATCATGGATATGGCTGGCGCTGAGGCGAGAGTGACTTTCGCAAGTACGGATGTGGCCCGCACTGAAGCGAGAGCAACGTTCGCAATCATTGACGTGGCCGGCGAAGATGCGAAAGCAAAATTCGCAATCATGGATGTAGCCTGCGCTGCGGCGAAAGCAACATTCCCAACCATGGATGCGGCCTGGGTTAAGGCCAACACAATATCGATATAGTGGATGTGGCCACTGGTGAGGCGAGAGCGTCCGTCGTAATCGTGGGCGAGGTGTCCCACTGAACACGCGCAGTGGCTCTAGCGCAACCAACAGCACCACTGAGACGAGCAGCGTCAGAAACAGCAGCTACATGCGCAGCAGCAACAACACCAACGCCAACAACAGCAGAAATAGTAGTGCAAACCGCACAAACGACTCGACCAGTACCTCTCTGACGAACACGGCAGCAAACAGCACCACCACCACGCGCACTAGCATCAGCGACACTAGCAGCACCAGTATGACGACCACGACGGGGAATGGAGCAGCAGCACCACGCGACACAGCACAGGCGCCACCAGAAGCAAATTTTGACCACAACGACAGCAAACAGCAACACCAAACGCAGCAGCACCAGCGTCACCAGCAGCGCCTAAGCGAAAGCCACATTTTTAATCAGGGATGTGGCCCACGCACAGGCGAGAACAACGCGCTGAATGAAAAATGTCGCTGGCGCCTGATCGGCAACAACAATTTTACTCAGAGATGTGGCCCACGCACAAGCTGGAGCATCATTCCGAGACACGCGTGTCGCCAGAATGCAGGTGTCACACCCATTCCGCGTGGGCCGGGCTCGGTGTCACCGAGGTCTGGGCTACGTTAGGTGGGTAGTCCACGTTAAGGGGGGGTGGTTGTACGAGCCGGCATATTCCAGGGGCAGGGCTGGGGCAATTGACTCCCTGGTGGAGCCAACGGGGTGCCTTTACAAAAAGACCAATGGGGCACCGATCGGCACACCTCCTCCTTCTCGTCGTCCATTGTCCCTCCTCGTCCCTCCTCCTTCCTCCTCCTCCCCCTCGCTCGCCCTCGTCCCTCACCTTTCAACATTCCCTGCCTTCTCCCCAGTCTCCTCGCTCCCTCCGTCCCCTCCCCCCAAATTTGCGTGTACCCTCCCTTCTGAATGCGGGGCGGAATAGCAATGGTAAGATCTGAAGATGAGAGCGGCAACATCGTCCTGTCACTACTTTTCTCCGTCCCCCACGGCGATGGGGATGGACCATGCGAATGAGCATGCACGCGAAGAGAAGATCCCGCTGGTCACTAGATCCGATCAGAGGCGGCAGCGCACGCCGGTTCTCGAGCTCCAGTAAAGAGTGGATGCATTTCGCACAAGAACTTCCACCGCGGAGGTGATCGTTTTAGCTTGGCATGACTTCGGCCCAACGTTTGACCACACAGGCGCTTCCAAAAGGCATGGGGCGGCGGTGGTGCAGAGTGCACACGTCGGTATCTACTGTCCAACTATCTTTTGAACTGGAAACCGCATTACTTTCCGATATTACGTCTAGCATGCGTGTGCGTCCTGGCTGCTTCTCCTGGCGCAACAGCGTTCCCCGTCTCTTTCTCGCGTCGCGCAGCAGGAATGCCATCAGCATCGTAAACACAATGTAATGAGCGGGCATCCATGGCTGCCTTGTGCCGAACGCTTGTAGGTGCAATGCAGATGCGTGTTCGAACGCGACGGGCAAAACACATACGATTGTGCATATAGCACGCGCGCCTTGTAGAACATGCGCGAGCCACACCGCTCCAATGAGAAACGTAGTGCATCGGGCGAGATACTGTCAACTGCTGTCGTCCCGTCCAGGTCCATCAATACTAAACGCCGCTGGTTGTTCTCCGTTCGTGAGCTCCCATGAACGAGGAAAGCCAACTATCGCATTCGCTGTCTCGCGCTTGCTTTCGAAGCCCTACTTTAATATTCCACGCAGGTGCAGCCCGAATAACAGGATGCTGAGATGCTCGTGGGGCGGCTCCTGAGAGGGTCTGAAAGTCCTGAGAAGATCCCGAGAGGGCCCTGGTGAGGCTCATGGGAGGCGATCGGGCTCCAGAGAGGCTCCCGAAGGAGCCCTAAGAGGGTCCTGGGATGGTTCTGTGAGGGTCTGAGAAGCTCCTGGGAAGATCTGAAAAAGGTTCTGATAGGGTCCCGAGAGGCCCCCGAGAGGCTCCTGCTTTGGACGCGCATGTTAGAACACAGTGTTGTGCATATTCCCAATGTCATACGTACGGGGTAATTGCTCTCAATGTCAAGCATCAAGCTCCTACTCCTGGCTCTCCCTCAGACCACTCACGCTCCGACTACTCATACTCGCACCACTGATGTTCAGCCCCCCACACTCATGCTCACCTATACGCTGACTCTGACTCTGACTCATACTCAGACTCACCCTTAACAAGTCACGCGTATCCAGACTCGCTCACATTCAGATCACTCATACTTAGGCCCACACGCGCAAATACTCAATCCTAGCCAGAACCACTCATGCAAACCGCTCGTATTCAGACCCACTCTCACTCAACAACATTTTTGAACAGTAGTTCGAATTTGCTAACACACAGCCTCACTTATACTCCGACGCATTCACACCAACGTTCGATTATCACCATCATGCACCAGACATGGCACTTGGGCACCCCAAGGCCGCCAGGAGGTAAGCGTCTCTCTTTTCAGGGCCGCATGATCATCGCGATGTAGCAGCCACGGCATTTGGGAAACCCAAAAGGGAAGCCGCCAAAGGGCATATCACGGGCCCGTTCGCGTTCAGATTGAGGGGGTGTCTCATGGTCCACCCAGTCTCTCAGATCCGTTCATACTCAAACACTCGTAGAGAAGGAACTCGCCATGACGCACATATAGGGATCTCCGCGCCTACGTTTACGATGTAAACGCCGTTCCTTGTTGGACACTCTGTGACGGGCTCATCATATAACTGCTGGAATACATCGCTGTAGCATGATGTTGGCATGGCCGCCCGAGGGGTATCCTACTCGATTGACATGTACTATCTGGTAGCCTGTGAGGCAACCCGATGTGACGGCAGCCGCCAGGACCCCTCTGGGAGATATTCCAGATTCTCTCTACACCTTCTTCGAACCTCTAGGCGAGACGCTAATAAGGGAGCAAACAACATGGGGCCCAGGATGCCCCAACATGTTCTCAGGGGCCTGACGAAACGCACGCGGGGCCCCAGGAGAAACCCGTAAAGGCCCAGTCAGCCACATATCTGCGAAGATAGAAAGGGCGGCGGATGTGGCGCACGCCTGTAGAATGACATGGGCGACTCCGAGCCGCCCAAAGGCGTTGGGAGGGGGGCTCCAGCGCCGATCCACAAAGAAAATCATGCGGACCTCCGAACATCATTTTTTGCTGTTGTCCGACAAGAACCTCTTCTTTCATCTCACCATCCCTCCCCTCCGACGTCGCCATTTGTTAGTGGCCTTGCCTGGGCCTCTGGGGATCGACAGTTTCCCCAGGGTTGTGGCTGCTCATCCTGGGTTGTGTTTTGGCGCCCCCTGTACTGAGCATGAAGTCGGGCGTGTCCCCCTACAGGCGGATTTAGGACGGAATATTAAACATAGTCGGAACATACCCCAAAAAGTCAAACATAGTCAAAAAATCGTCCCCATACTTTTTTTGTGACTATTTTTGGATATTCCCCCTGTGGGACACGCCCGACTTAAACTTAGCAAGGGTCTCCACGAGTCGATTGGCCCAAACCCTTTCCGTCGTGCTGTTCTCACTCCACAAAGCGAAGGGGGTCTGGGTGCCCCTCCGCCTCCTCTTCGTCCCTCTCCCACTCCTCCGTCAGGAAAGTGGGTCAGAAGAAGCGGCCCGCGTGAGCTGGCACGCTGAGATGGCGGGCGGCAGTCATCCCTCGGAGAGTCGGCACGAAGGAGGTGAGGAAGCGGCAAAATTTCTCGTCGAGTGAATCACGTCTGAGGGCTGGGTCGACATTGGTCGAGGCCCAGACCACACATCCAACCAAATGCTTCTTTCTCGCGGCCAAGTGGGTATGACAACTCCCTCTCCTACCCCACCTCACACTCGTCACTGGCCACGGGCGGCGCAAGTCAGCGGCAGGCGCTGGAGAGCAGAGGCAGCAGTGCGCGAGCCCGCGCGAGCAGAGCGCGGCCCGCCTCTGGATAGGCACAGGTGACGTCGCTGTCCCGTTCGGCACCGGTGACGTTGCTGTCCCGTTCGTCGGTGCCGTTCTGGCGGACGCCCGGGAGGAGGGCACGTACTCTCGTGGTGGTGGTGGTGATCGTCGTCGTCGTTGTCGACGTCGACACCGGTGGGGGGGGGGCACGTACTCTTCTCTCCCCCCTGACCAACCATTTTCCTCCATTAGCCTGCATGGCGCCTGACACGCCGCCAACCTGTGCGGCGCTTGACAGCCGCCGCAGCGCCGATCACCGTGATGGTCGCGCGCTGTGCCACAGCCGATCGGCGGACCTCGGGCTCGGTGGCTTACAGTGCGGGCGCGGCCGCGAGAAACCCTCGCAAGAAACCCAACCCTGAGAATCCGTGCGCGAGGTGCACCTGATGGGAAACCTGGAGCACCCTGAACGCAGCAGCTCCTTCAACGACTGCGGGAAGTCGCCGCGCAGCGCGCGGAGCGAAGAAACCCAGGATTCCCTGACGAAGAGCATATGGTTTCTTGATGCGCGCCCCCACTGCATTTCCCCACGACAAATTTTCCTTCGGGGCTCTCATTTGTTTTCGGAGAACCCGTGGGTGGGAGGCGCGGTCGTCGCCAGATTCCCTGGGGTTCCTTGGCCTTGCCTCCTTACAAAGCGTTGCGCGGATTCCCTTGGATCCTTGGCCTTGGCTGCTTGGTCTTGGATCATTGGTTCATCGGTTCCGTGGTTTTGGTTTCTTGGTCTTGGTTCATTGGTTCCTTGGTTACTCGATTCCTCGGGTTCTTGGTTCTTTGGTCTTGGTTCCTTGGATGCTTGATTCCTGAGTCTCTGTTCCTCTGTTCTTTGGACTCGCTTCCTTGGATTATTGGTCTTGGTTCCTCGGTTCCTTGGACGGTCTTCCTCGGTTCTTTGGCCTGGGTGCCTTGGTTCCTCGGTCGTGGTTCCTCGGTCCCTTGGCGTTGGAATCTCGAATCCTTCGTCTTTGTTTCTCAGTTTCCTGGTCTGGGTTCCTTGGCTAGTCGTAGTCGTAGTAGTAGTGGTAGTGGTCGTGGTAATGTTAGTGGTAGTAGTAGTAGTAGTAGTAGTAGTAGTAGTAGTAGTAGTAGTAGTAGTAATAGTAGTAGTAGTCGTGGTGGTAGTAGTAGTAGTAGTAGTCGTAGTAGCAGTAATAATAGTAGTAGTAGTAATAGTAGTAGTAGTAGTAGTCGTAGTAGTAGTAATAGTGGTGGTAGTAGTAGTAGTAGTAGTACTAGTACTAGTACTAGTAGTAGCAGTAGTAGTAGTAGTAATAGTAGTAGTAGTAGTAGTAGTAGTAGTAGTACGTAGTAGTGGTAGTAGTAGTAGTAATAATAATAGTAGTAGTAGTAGTAATAATAATAGTAGTCGTAGTAGTAGTAGTAGTAGTAGTAGTAGTAGTAGTAGTAGTAGTAGTAGTAGTAGTAGTAGGTTAGTAGTAGTGTAGTAGTAGTAGTAGTAGTAGTAGTAGTAGTAGTAGTAGTAGTAGTAGTAGTAGTAGTAGTAGTAGTAGTAGTAGTAGTAGTAGTAGTAGTAGTAGTAGTAGTAGTAGTAGTAGTAGTAGTAGTAGTAGTAGTAGTAGTAGTAGTAGTAGTAGTAGTAGTAGTAGTAGTAGTAGTAGTAGTAGTAGTAGTAGTAGTAGTAGTAGTAGTAGTAGTAGTAGTAGTAGTAGTAGTAGTAGTAGTAGCAGTAGTAGTAGTAGTAGTAGTAGTAGTAGTAGTAGTAGTAGTAGTAGTAGTAGTAGTAGTAGTAATACTAGTAGTAGTAGTGGTCGTAGTTGTAGTAGTGGTAGTAGTGGTAGTAGTGGTAGTAGGCGCAGCAGTAGTAGCAATCAAAATAGTAATGAAATTCGTAATGATAAAGTGCAATCAGGTTGACAATCACCTCCGGGCGATGGCTAACCGTCATTTCGGGACTATTGCGGGAGCGTAATTTTATCGTCACCTCCGGACAAGGTTGCTTGTGGGGGTCGGAACATCGCTCTCGTTGCGGTGTTCCTCATCTTGCCCCCACGATTCCGGTATGAATCCTTAAAAATCTTTGGAAGATCGCGCAACATCCCCAGGATTCCGGGGGGGCTTCCTGGGGAATAGGGAAGCACCGCGAAGAAGCTTAAGGAAACCTGAGGAATCCGAGGAACCCTGAAGAATCTGAGGTTCCCTGACGGGGCCTCCAGGAAACTTTGGATCCTGAGGCATCCTGAAGAATTAACATACCTCAAGCGATCCTGAAATAAACTCCGAAAGAACGCGAAGAAACCTGAAGCTTTGGGAACTCGAGAATCCCCGAGGAATCGTGAGGAAACCAGAGAAACCAAAAAAAAATTGAAGAAATCGTCAAATCTCGAGGTTCCCGAAGGAACCGTGCGAATCTGTCAAAGCACTGCTAAACCCTGCTATGTCTGGTCGCACATGCTAAGCCCTGCCAGGCTTTGCTCAGTCCCGCGAACCACCGCGAAGGCCCGCCGAGCATTGCTAGCCCTTGTCAAGCCTTTGCTAAGCCATGCTAAGCCCTGGCAAGCCCTTGTGAGCCCCGCTGGCCTCTGGTTAGCTGTGCTAGCCATTGCCAAGCCCTGCTAACAAGCATTGCTACACCTTGAGGTGCCCTGCGGCCTCTTCTAAGCCCTTCTCAGCCGTGCCAAACCCTAATCAACCGCCGTGGTAAGCCCTGCTGGCCCCTGCTACTGAACCCTCCTCAGCCTTGACCGGAAGCCCTGAGAAATCCTGCTGAGCATTTCGAGCGCCTGCGGGGCCGTGTTGGCCACTGCGAAGCTCTGTTAAGCCTTGGCAGCCCTCTCTGCTAAGCCCTGCTGGGTCCCCGTATTCCGTGCTATGTAAAGGTCGCCCTTACTGAGACCCGTTGGGTACTGCTAGCCCCTGCTACGGTATGGCAAGCCCGGGTCAGCCCTGTTAAGCCTTGCTGGCCCCTGCAAAGCCGTGCTTGCCATTGCGAAGCCCTGGCAAAAATTGCTCAGCCTTGCTAAGAGTTGCTGAGCCATGCTAGTCCGTGCTCATATTTGCTACGCCCTGCCGAGCCCTGCCTGCCCCAGCTAAGCCTTGCTAGGCCCCGCCACGCCCTGTCAGCCCCTGCTAGGCTTCGCGGGGCCCTCGCTAGCCCCTGCCAAGCTTTGCTTCGCCGCGCGGAGCCGTACCAGCCCCTGTTGAGATTTCCTACGCACTGCTGGTCTCTGCCTCTGCTAGACCCTGCTACGCGTTGCTGAGAGCTGCAACGCCTTGCTAGCAAGCTAGCAAGTGCTAACCAATGCTGGAACTTGGGGATGCCCCAGGGGTGCAGGTTCCAGTCGCCTGCGTGCGGGGTCTTCAATTGGATCTGCAGTATGGTGGCATCGCCGATTAGTGCGGTTCTATTGGGCACGAAATAATTCAAATGGTCACGTGTGCGCGGATCGGACAATTCGGCTTGTGTTATCTTATTGCGTTCTATTCGCAGTGCATGTAATTGATGTGTAATAGGTATATATATATATATATGTATGTGTGTTCTATTTGTCAGCAATGTGTATTCTATGGGTGTTGCATTGTCCGCCAAACCAGATCCCTAATCTGAGCCCGAACCCGAACCATTTAACCTGTACGCTGAACTTTTGCACTGCGCGCACGTGGCAGTCAACCCTAGTAGTAGTAGTAGTAGTAGTAGTAGTAGTAGTAGTAGTAGTAGTAGTAGTAGAAGTAGTAGTAGTAGTAGTAGTAGTAGTAGTAGTAGTAGTAGTAGTAGTAGTAGTAATAATCATAAGAATAGTAGTCGTGGTGGTGGCAATGATGGAAAATGCAATATTAATACTGGTAATGGTCGTAGTGGTAATCGCGAAAAGGGGAGTAGTCGTCGTAGCAGCAAAGCAGCAGCAGCAGTAGTAGTAGTAGTAGTAGTAGTAGTAGTAGTAATAGTAGTAGTAGTAGTAGTAGTAATAGTCGTAGTAGTAGTAGTAGTAGTAGTAGTAGTAGTAGTAGTAGTAAGCTAGTAGTAGTAGTAGTAGTAGTAGTAGTAGTAGTAGTAGTAGTAGTAGTAGTTAGTAGTAGTAGTAGTAGTAGTAGTAGTAGTAGTAGTAGTAGTAGTAGTAGTAGTAGTAGTAGTAGTAGTAGTAGTAGTAGTAGTAGTAGTAGTAGTAGTAGTAGTAGTAGTAGTAGTAGTAGTAGTAGTAGTAGTAGTAGTAGTAGTAGTAGTAGTAGTAGTAGTAGTAGTAGTAGTAGTAGTAGTAGTAGTAGTAGTAGTAGTAGTAGTAGTAGTAGTAGTAGTAGTAGTAGTAGTAGTAGTAGTAGTGGTAGTGGTAGTAGTAGTAGTAGCAGTAGTAGTTGTAGCCGCCGTAATCGCAGTCGTGGCCGCAATAGTAGCAGAAGTAATCGTAGGAGTAGGAGGTCGTCGAAGAAATAGTCCTAGTAGTAATAGTAGTCGTCGTCGTGGCCGTAAACGCAGTAGTCGTCGTAGTAGACATAGTAGCTGTAACACTAATACAACTACTAGTACCAATCGTAAACATGAGACTCGCAAAGCTGATAACAGCAGCAGTAGTAAGTAGTAATAGGAGGGGAAAAGCAGGCCGCTCGACGATGTATTTGTCAACTAACCATCTTGTGCCATCGCCGCGACGTCTGGGAGCGAGCGGACGAGGGCACGAGAGCCTCGAAAATATTAAAGTGAGCGAACGAAGAAACTGAACAACGTGAGACAAGCATCCTGGAGCAGAGGCATTGGGCTGGCACAGGGAGGCGGAAGAGGCTTGGACCGCGGTGGTTGCGGTCAGCACAGAGAATGCCCGCGGCCAGCCCCCTCCTTCACGTGCACGCACCCCCAGGAGGGGAAAAGCAGGCCGCTCGACGATGTATTTGTCAACTAACCATTTTGTGCCATCGCCGCGACGTCTGGGAGCGAGCGGACGAGGGCACGAGAGCCTCGAAAATATTAAAGTGAGCGAGCGAAGAAACTGAACAACGTGAGACAAGCATCCCATACCTCCCAATCCGAAGGAAAGAGTTCTCAAATGTTATACTCGTTGCGGGCTTTCGAGACCAGAATGGAAGCCAGCACGTGAGCAAGGCGCG